GGGGGGGGTCAGACATGGAAGACGCCGTGGGCCAGTCTCTCTGGAACGTTAGCCATTGACATGACATCATCGGTCACGAGGAAGGCGATTGGTCCGACACGGTTCCACACACACCTCTCACACAGCGGGCCTCCCTGTAACACGGAGTCCGACTGTACCAACCAGAGAAGACACTGTTACTGACAGGTGAAACAGCCCACCCACAACTACAGTCCGGTTTCACCGTTAGCTTCTTACACATTTCAAGGTCGGCGCCGACATGACGAATGACGAGCCCGGAGTGATGCAGTTGGGGCAGTTAGAGACAGAACACGGGGGCGGGGCCTGTGGTGGCGTTACGCTCCTGACGGGCTCCGACTTTAAAAAGTACTCCTGGAGGTGAGAGGAAATGAAAGGGTTGACCTTTGACACGACACTCATCATCTCAGGTCAGGTTAAAGGTACGGGACTGGGTTGAGTCCCAGTCTGCGGCCCGGCCCAGACCGCTCCTACCCCAGCCAGGGTGAGCAGGTTGTAAATGCTCTCGCTGATGATCAGCGTCGTTTTGGCTCGAGTCGCTGCCACGTACAGAAGGTTCCACTCATCGCCAGGAACGCTGTCTGAAAGAAAGGGAAAAAAACAACAACCAGAGGTTTGAAACCGACGTCCAACCCTCGAAGTCATGCAGTGGGTGGGGAACTACACCCACCCAGAGAGAAGGCGGGGCTGCGGTACATCCTGTGTCTGGGCCACGGAACCCTGACGAAGTCGTCTGTGATCATCACGGACTCAAACTCCAGACCTTTGGCTTTGTGAACTGTCCCCACGATGAAGTCTGGACAGAAGACAGTTGGTGTGAGGTGATTGGTCGACTGCAGAGCGTCGCCTTTACGACGTTTTCCTTCTCCTGTGATACTGAGGACTTTTATTTTGAAAGGGTTTCCCTGTAGTTTTGTGAATAAGTGACGCAGAGAAACATCAAAATAATTGTTTGGTGATAAAAACCCTGAGAACGGAGCGTGTTTCAGGGAAAGGTGTATCATCAGGGTCGTTGACGGACCGCTGTGCTGTGGGTCCGAGTGTAAAGGTAACTAACCCAGTTTATCAAAACCAGCTCTAACCCCGGCTTTAGGTTCAGAAATAAAAACTAAATCCACTAGTGCAGGTCGACGCGGTGGATCAGTGGGATGTGCTGCACACACTGTGTGTGTGTGTGTGTGACTGTACACCTGCTCTGTGAAGGTCTGGTTCCGAGCAGCTTCTCAGTTGGATCAGCAGCTCAGGAATCCGACTTGCGTACTTTTCCACGATGGTCAGTTTGGCGTTCAGCTCCAGGTCGTCCGTCTGGTCGATGTATTCCTTCAGACTTCTCACAGAATTCCCGTCCATCCTGACAAAGTGGCGGATGAGCGGATCCTTGATGACTGTTGGCAGAACAAGGACAAACCGTCAGTCTCCACTGGTACCTAACCAGGACCAGTTCTGGTCTTCATCTGTGTCACTGGTACATTTAGGATGTGGGTTGGGCTGCGTCAGCCTCCAGAGGTCCATGATCCGGTCCAGCCCAAAGTTCTTCACATCCTGTACACAAACACAAGTGAAGAAGTCAAGCCTGGGCGCTTCACCTGTCAGGCCCAGAAGAGGGCGCTCTGTAACCTCTGATGGTGAATAAATGCTGTGGATCTGTGAACCATATGTTCACATCCCCCTCACAACAACAACAACAACAACAACATGATGTCACTGTCTTCCCCAACAGGTCACCGTGAATCAGTCTGGTCAAAAATGGTCTCCGGTCTTCAGAACACCTGTTGTTATACCTGTTGTTCCTGCTGTTAAATCACCTGTTGTTCCTACTGTTGTTTCACCTGTTGTTTCCAACTGTTGTTCCTACTGTTTTTACACCTGTTGTTCCTACTGTTTTTACACCTGTTGTTATACCTGTTGTTCTTGCTGTTAAATCACCTGTTGTTCCTACTGTTTTTACACCTGTTGTTCCTACTGTTTTTACATCTGTTGTTCTAACTGTTGGAACAACTGGAACTCAAACACGATGAAGCTGAGGTTGTTGTCGTTCCTGTCACTCCCTCTCTGTGATGTCACTCACGCCGATGAAGTGGATTCGACAGCGTGGGTTTGCGTCCGTCAGTTTGACAGCTCTGTCGAAGACACCGGTGTTGCACCTGGACAGGATGGCTGTGTTTCCACGGCAACAGGCCTCGCCTGTCCTCACAGCTTCAGCCACTCGGTCTGCGTTCTCATCACACACACCACCTGCACAACACACACACACACACACAATATATAAAGTATATATACCAATAAATTCACATTCAGGTCAAAGGTCAGCAGCCCTGACCTTTCTGCGTTCCTCCCACCAGAATCTTCTCCACGTTCTTACAGGTCTTGAGGATGGTGGCGCCGACGTACGCGATCTCTGCACCGAACCTGAAGCTCTGGACAAACACAAACATATAAACCAACAGGTGGACGCCGACCGGTCCTCCACCGACCGGTCCTCCCCCGACCGGTCCTCCACCCACCCGGCCGGGTCCACCCCCGACCGGTCCTCCACCGCCCGGTCCTCCACCGACCGGTCCTCCGCCGACCGTCCGTGTTGGTGTCACACCTGCGTCAGGTAGAAGACGTGTGTGTGCTCCAGCAGCTGCAGGGCGTTGACCGCTCCTCTGAAGGTGTAGATCTGCTGATGAGGATCTCCAACCAGGATCTTCCCACACGGCTGAGACAGCAGCACGTCCATGATGGCTGCAGGGACCGGAGGAGAGCAGTGCATCATGGGAGTGGAGTTAGCTGTGACTGGACTGTGCAGCCGGTGTTGTTGTTGTTGTTGTTACCTGGAGTACAGTCCTGAGCCTCGTCGATCAACAGGACGTGGTAGTCGGAGAGGCGGGGCTTGGGCTCCTGGAGCTGCCACAGCTTCAGGTAACCTGGGCATGAAGTACCACGGTGACCAAGTACACAGTACACGTGCAGTATGTAATGAGAAGGAGTACTACAGTAGCTGCAGTACCATCATGTGTCATGCGGTACGCCTCTCTGTCTGTCCGACGGACGTCCTTCATTCTGTTCCAGATCATCTGAGCGTCGCTGACAAACAGCTGGAGTTTCAGCAGCAGAAACAGTCGTTGGATCAGAACAACAGTCAGGACAACAGTCAGAACAACAGGCAGGACGAGTCAGAACAACAGCCAGGACAACAGTCAGGAGGAGTCGAACAACAGCCAGGACAACATTTTTACTTTCAAATTTCATCAAGAGGGCCAAATTGAACCTCCTAGCCAACAGTCAGAACAACAGCCAGGACAAAGCCAGACCAACAGTCAGGACAACAGCCAGGACGAGGAACAACAGCCAGGACAACACGACCGAGGAGCAGCCGGAACAGTCAGAACAACAGTCAGGACGAGTCAGAACAACAGTCAGGACAACAGCCAGAACAACAGCCAGAGCAACACAGTCAGAACAACAGTCAGGACAACAGTCAGGACAACAGTCAGACCAACAGCCAGAACAACAGTCAGAACAACAGCCAGAACAACAGCCAGAGCAACAGTCAGAACAACAGTCAGGACGAGTCAGAACAACAGTCAGGACAACAGCCAGAACAACAGCCAGAACAACAGCCAGAGCAACAGTCAGAACAACAGTCAGGACGAGACAGAACAACAGTCAGGACAACAGCCAGAACAACAGCCAGAGCAACAGTCAGAACAACAGTCAGGACAACAGCCAGAACAACAGCCAGGACAACAGCCAGACCAACAGCCAGGACAACAGCCAGACCAACAGTCAGAACAACAGTCAGACCAACAGTCAGAACAACAGCCAGACCAACAGTCAGACCAACAGTCAGAACAACAGCCAGAACAACAGCCAGACCACCAGCCAGGCCGAGTCAGAACAACAGCCAGACCAACAGACAGGACGAGTCAGAACAACAGTCAGGACAACAGCCAGAACAACAGCCAGACCACCAGCCAGGCCGAGTCAGAACAACAGCCAGAACAACAGCCAGACCAACAGTCAGACCAACAGCCAGGACGAGTCAGAACACCAGCCAGACCAACAGTCAGGACAACAGCCAGAACAACAGCCAGAACAACAGCAAGAACAACAGCCAGAACAACAGCAAGAACAACAGCCAGAACAACAGCAAGAACAACAGCCAGAACAACAGCCAGACCACCAGCCAGGCCGAGTCAGAACAACAGCCAGAACAACAGTCAGGACAACAGTCAGGACAACAGTCAGACCAACAGCCAGAACAACAGTCAGAACAACAGCCAGAACAACAGTCCACCTGTAGCCGTCCTACCTGCTTCTCACTGTGGACGATGACTATCCTGTTGCCTGAGTTCGTGGTGTGGACGTCGGGGACGTGGCTGATGTTGACGGCGTCCTCAGCTGAAGCCATGAAGGTGCGGAGGGTGGAGGCCACCACCTTGGCCTTGGTGTAGCCCCCCCGGCCCGGGGGCAGAACCAGGCTGATGGAGAACAGGTTCAGGGCAGTTGTCAACTTAGATTTGTATCTG